AAACTCAAGACCGAGTACGGCGATCAGGTCGAAGTGACGGCGTGTCGTGCATGTCTGCAGAATGCCACTAGCCCTTTACGGAAACTTAAAAGTCGGCCGAACGAGCGACAGGAGGACGGCGAAACGTGCATTAGCCCTTGATGAAGTACCTGAAAACCTGAACACCTCCTGGAACAACATCAGGTACATGAACCACCATGAAACAAACCAAGGGACCACAGCAACCAATCAACAGTTAACAGCAGGTACGTTTACACCTCCCTGGTGTGCGGTCTTCGTTGGCCAGGACGCGCGCCAGGGAGTCCTGGCCACATACAAACGCCCCCTGCTGAAAATTAAACATGGAGAACGGAGTCCAAAAGTAAACAATCCAAACGGATCCCTGTGACTACAAGGGGCACACACACACGCCTCCCCGAGGGGAGGCATATTTTCGCTGAGCGCCAAACCGGGAGGGTTGATTGAAACTAGTGAAACTGGCGTAGTTCACGGAAGGTTTGGTAGGCAGTGAGTGGAAGTTGCAATTGATAAATGGCATCATCATGTAAACGAGCAGCGACAGTGTGTAAAGGTCTGTGTGGGAAAGGTGTGGATTCCCGGGGGTACATGTGAGGAAGTCCTAGTACATGAAGACGACGAGAGTTCACATAGTACAGAACAAGATCTTCAAGTGCGCAGGTGTGTGGGACTTCCCAGACTCGTGAATCTCCTGTAGAGGGAAGGGCCATCCAGAAAGCAGTGGGTTGTTGCCCTAGACGGGAGTAGATCACATCCTTGAGACCCTCAACAGTTTCAATCTGGGCCGTGTTGAGGGTCATGGTGATGTAGTTTCAAGGCTGATAGACCAGGAGACATGATGTCCAGTTCGAAACGAACAGTGGAGAGGTGAGGGATCAAGAGTTTCGAAAGGTTGTCGTATTTCTCTCCAATCAGTGGGAATCAGCTGAGTCAATGGTCCAAATCCTTGCTGCAAAGGCTTTCTGGACACCATTTGAGAGTTCAGGAGTTTGGCAATGGCACCTTGAGCTCTGCTATATTCAATCTCTTGGCTGAGATCTCCTCCTGGCGTATTCAGGTGCATGGAAGCACACTGAGTTTCCAAGCGCCGAAAAAAAACCGTGGGTGCCTCCAATCTGAGTAGCGTCGTGCGTGCCTGGGAGAAAATTTGCCAGGAATCTCACACCTACTGCCCTTGTTAGCGGATCAAAATGTCAAAACTCTGTCTGCTGACGATATCACGGCTATTCTCTCCTCTACTGCAGACTGCCTCATCTTTTCTGGGTCTACCGTCACCATATCCACCTGACCTTCGGCTGCGAATTTGGCTCTTTCGCGAAGCCAGCCGAATGCTCGGAATGGTCACATCCATGGTTTGGATACTCCGATGCCACTTTCTGTCAGGACAGCATGTAGCTCGCCAGCTTTCAGAAGATCGCGTTGCTGAAGAAGCCCCTTCCAATGGCTCGCAAAAGATGTGTGTGTGTGTGGCCACATGAGGAACTTCAAGCTACCAGTGCTTGGTCATCTCAGTCATCTCGCCTGCAAGTATTGCTGATTTCTTTGCGTGAAAGAGGATTCATCATGCAAATTGGGCAAAGCAACAAACTTAGGCTGAGGCATTCGGTGAAATGAGCCCAACAAAGCCGAACTGCCTGACATGAAAGCAGCCAAGCAAAGTGGCTTTCTTTTGCAAAACAAGTAAAAAATTTGTCTTTAAACATGCGTCGTTTTTCAAAGCAAACAAAACATTGTTCCACATGTAAAACAAATCTTCATGTTCATCTCGATTCTCAAAAAGGTGGAAAGATCGGAGAGAATAACATGGATGAGGCAGTACAAGCCTTCTGACATCTCCACAGAGGTCTGGTCTGGTGCAGGTGGATCCGTCACCATAGCTTCTTGCGACACATCTGGCAGATGAAAACTCGACTTTGGCACCACAAGCCAAGCAGAACAGAACTGTTTTGAGGAGGCACCCTAGTTTAGAAACTGCACCTTCTACTTTTTGGGGCTGGTCATTCCCAAGACTTAGCAAGGCTTGCCCTAGAATATCCTTCGATATCAACACCACCGTGATGCAAATGGATACGCAAATGCTTTGGATCCATGCTTGTATTTATATGTATTTATGCACATTCCTTGAAATGAACATATTGCACCTCGGGCGCTCCGAGGCTTCAGCCGGCCCGAGGCAATCACCTAAGTGGTGGGTTTCAAGAATTATCGCCACGTGCCACGACATCTCAATTCTGATTCTGAAGGTTTGGAGGGACATGCCCAGAGAAACATATTCCCTAGCATGGGCGGCTGGCTATTGGCATATTGCTTCCAAAGTGAACACATCACACAAGTATCTACCTCGCGCGTTTACAGTAGACATCTATCGAGTGATGAACGCAAATGTGATGATGTGGGTGTTTGTAACAGGGTGAATTGAACAATACAGGGAGTGGCACATTGATTGATCAGAGGGTACAATTCCGGCAAGAGACCACAAACAGTGTGCGCGAGGTCTGTGAGCAGAAAGTCTAGAGATCTAGACGCATTGGGGTCCAGAGAGATGATGGTGGTGATGAAGTGGGTGAGAGTGGGTGTGGGTGTGAGTGAGAGTGAGTGTGAGTATGAGTGAGACTGAAGGTGGGCAAGTGTGAGAATGAGAGTGAGAGTGAGAATGCGGTGATGAAGTGAAGGTGGGTGTGAGCGAGCGTGGGTGAGAGGGAGCGTGAGTGTGAGTGAGAGTGAGTGAAAGTGGGAGAGTGAGGGTGTGAGGGAGTGTGAGTGTGAGTGAGAGTGGGAGACTGAGTGAGCGCCAGTGTGAGTGAGAGTGAGTGTGAGTGAGGGAGTGTGAGTGTGTGAAAGTGGGAGAGTGAGAGTGTAGAGTGGGAGAGCGGGTGAGTGTGAGTGTGAGTGTGAGTGTGAGTGTGAGAGAGAGAGAGTGAGTGTGAGTGTGAGTGTGAGTGTGAGTGTGAGTGAAGGTGGGTGCGAGTGAGCGTGGGCGAGAGTGAGAGTGAGAGTGAGTGTGAGTGAGAGTGCGAGAGTGAGTGAGAGTGTGGGTGGGCGAGTGTGCGTGCGAGTGAGAGTGCGAGTGTGAGAGAGACAGAGAGTGTGAGTGTGAGTGGGAGTGAGTGTGGATGAGAATGAGTGTGAGTAAGAGTGAGTGAGTGTGAGCGCGAGCGCAAGTGAGAGTGGGAGTGGGAGTGAAAGTGGGAGAGTGAGAGTGGGAGAGTGAGAGAGTGAGCATGTGAGAGCACAAAGCACCGCACCTGCCACGAAACCCGCCCCCCGAGGTTCACCAAAGTTCAAAGTGCTGCGCTCGCTACGAAATCTGCACTTCGCGGTACACCATTCGCTGCGCCTGCCGCGAAATCTGCACCTCGCGGGTCGCAAAGTGCTGCACCTGCCACGAAATCTGCACTTCGAGGTTCACCAAGCGCTGCTCCTGCCACGAACTCTGCGCATCGAGGGTCAGAATGCTGCGCCTGCCACGAAATCTGCACTTCGAGGCTCACCATTCGCTGTGCCTGCCACGAAGTCTGCACCTCGAGGTTCACCCAGCGCTGCACCTGCCACGAAATCTGCACTTTGAGGTTCACCAAGCGCTGCACCTGCCATGAAATCTGCGCATTGAGGGGCACACAGAATGCTGTGCCTGCCACGAAATCTGCACTTCGAGGTTCACCAAGTGCTGCGCCTGCCATGAAATCTGTACCTCGAGGTGCGCCAAGCGCTGCACCTGCCACGAAATCTGCACATCGAGGGTCACAGAGCGGTGCGCCTGCCACGAAATCTGTACCTCGAGGGTTACCAAGCGCTGCACCTGCCACGAAATCTGCACATCGAGGGTCACAGAGCGCTGTGCCTGCCATGAGATCTGTACCTCGAGGTGCGCCAAGTGCTGCGCCTGCCACGAAATCTGCACATCGAGGGTCACAGAGCGGTGCGCCTGCCACGAAATCTGTACCTCGAGGTTCACCAAGCGCTGCACCTGCCACGAAATCTGCACATCGAGGGTCACAGAGTGCTGTGCCTGCCACGAACTCTGCACTTCGAGTTTCTCACCAAGCGCTGCACCTGCCTTGAAATCTGCACTTCCAGGTTTACCAAGCGCTGCGCCTGCCACGAAATCTGCACTTTGAGGTTCACCAAGTATACTGTGCCTGCCACCTGCACTTCGAGGTTTATGAAGTGCTGTGCCTGCCACGAAATCTGCACATCGAGGGCCACAGAGCGCTGTGCTGCGCCTGCCACGAAATCTGCACATCGAGGGTCACAGAGTCCTGTGCCTCCCACGAACTCTGCAGCTCGAGGTTCACCAAGTGCTGCGCCTGCCACGAAATCTGCGCATCGAGGGTCACAGAATGCTGTGCCTGCGACGCAATCTGCACTTCGAGGTTCACCGTTCGCTGCGCCTGCCAAAAAATCTGCACTCGAGGTTCACCAAGCGCTGCACCTGCCACGAAATCTGCACTTCGAGGTTCACCAAACGCTGCACCTGCCACAAAATCTGCGCGTCGAGGGTCACACAGAACGCTGCGCCTGCCACGAAATCTGCACTTCAAGAAGTCCACCATTCGCTGTGCCTGCCACGAAATCTGCACCTCGAGGTTCACCAAGTGCTGCACCATCAAGTGCTGCAACTGCCACAAAATCTGCACTTCGAGGTTCACCAAGTGCTGCGCCTGCCACGAAACCTGCGCATTGAGGGTCACAGAGCGCTGTGCCTGCGCACTTCGAGGTTCACCAAGCGCTGCGCCTGCCACGAAATCTGCACATCGAGGTTCGCGCTGTACCTGTCACGAAATCTGCACTTCGAGGTTCACCAAGTGCTGCGCCTGTCACGAATCTGCACTTGGAGGTTCACCCTGCGCTGTGCCTGCCACGAAATCTTTACTTCGAGGTTCACAAAGTGCTGTACCTGTCACGGAATCTGCGCGTCGAGGTTCACAAAGTGCTGCACCTGCCACGAAATCTGCACTTACAGGCAAGTGCACCAAGCGCTGCGCCTGCCACGAAATCTGCAAACGGGCCACATGTCCAAAAGTCACGATTCACTGCACCTGTCACGATATCTGAGCTCCTCAAAGATCACCACCATGTCCAAAGGCCACGAAAACTGCATTTCGAGGTAAAACAGCTCCGATCCCTTGCGCCTGTCACGAAAAGTCGACTTTGGAGCACCAAAACACGAGGTTTCCCTTGCCCCTGTCACGAAAAGTCACCACCACGTATGAAAATGCGCACGGCGCCACAACGAGAGCGCAGTCGTTAGAAGCACCCGCCGCGGACACCCAGATTCAGCGAGCCTGCGCAGTCGAAATGCACATGGACGATGTCGAGAGGCATGAATGTACTGTAAATAGCAGCGAATCAGCCGCACACGCCCGCGCGCTTCAGCGATCTAAGCATCAGCTGCTTTTCCACTACCGTAAGAACCCCTCAGTGTGCCCACACTGTTTGGGGAGAAAAGAACACAAAGCAAACATCAAGAGAATGAGCCGCAGCAGAATGATGCGTACTTAGCCACAGTGACCTCAAATAAACCTCTCTCGTCCAAACGAATGATTACCATCACGCCGGCTGTTTGGAAGGAAGACAAGCAAAAGTCATCAGGAGAATGCTGTTGAAGACAAGAGCAGAAGCAAGCTACTAGGAGAAGTTCGCTCCTAGCTAGGATACACAGGATACTTCGCACTAATGATTTGGTTCCTAGATGTTTAGGGAAGCTACGTCCTGAGGCCCTGGCAGAGCAAAGCATGCATCCTGGAGGTGTCAAAATGAAAAAAATTGCTGTCATTATTGGAATGTAGTGGCCACTCCTTTTGCTAATTCTCTCCCTCCCACCTGTCACCACCAGAGCCAACAACCGCAGGGGATTGGCCGTGAAGGACCAAAGGATTTGCTTTGCAAGCCCGGCCTCACCGCTCACAACCCAACAAATCGCTTGGTTTTCTTGCCTTTCTTCCTGACCCCTGGCCTTCTCAAGAATCACGGCTGGCTTGAAAGTCATGACTGGTACAGCATTCAAAGTATATATGATGGGTTACACCACGAAAACACGACTGCCTACCATCATCCGCACGTGAATTAGGCGTTATGAAAACACAACAGGGAAGCCAACGCGCCCAGCTGCTACGCTGGCTAAGGATGTTGCCCTCGGGACAATCTGTGTCCAACTTGATAAGGGGGAGCTTGAGCAAACTCTGAAATGCAACTGACAATCGCCTCAGAATTCTTTTCATTTTTGCATCCAAACCTGAGTGCAAGGAGTACACTGATGAGCCTCGAGACATGTGTTGATTCCAAAGTTGCAGGGGCAAAGCTCCCAACAAGGTTGCGTTGGGAAGGTTTATCTCCTCATCTTCCCAGCCTTCGGGCCAAGTCCACCTGCCGCACAGTTTCCGACTTTCAGCTTTAGTGCACACTCTTTGACAGCTTATGCCCTTGCCTCAAGCGAAGATGCTGTACGGTGCGAATGCCTTCTTTCAGTCGATGAAAGCCTTTTCCCTCGTAAAGACCTCGGCTACCAGGTCTTTCCATACATCAAAAGACAGCTTGCAAACAGTTAGGAGCATACTGCTTCTATGCCAGTGCTCACCAGCAACATCTCTGCTGTACCTTTCAAGCGCAACTTTGCTCTGCGAATTCAACTTGGCAAATGCAATGGAAAAGAAACCATCAAGCGCTGGCATACCCTCTATATATTTGTGTCTGTGCGGGCTCAAGCCCCTCCTAGCTGAGCCGCCAAGCGGCCAGAGTTCTAAATCAGGTGCATCCGGCTCATCTAGCAAAATACCTGACACTTTGGGATTTACAACAACACTGAGAACACTTAATGGACGTGGCAATCTAAGAGCTTCTTACTTTCTTTGCCCATTGTCTCCAAGCATTTCTTTGCTCTTTCTTCTCAGTCTCGATTTACCACAGGTCCACCACAAGGAGCCTGTAAGGTCCAGTAAGCTTGTGAAGGATATCCACTGGTCCATGCACCCCCACGAAATCGCCACCGGAGCCATCTCAGTTGAATTGCTTGTCCACAGAATCAGCTGCTGCTTGACAATAGCCACGGGTTCAGATAGAACAGTAAGTTCTGAGTGAGCACAAAAACAAAAATCATCCTGAAGGCTAATCATTGTTCAGGAATGTGCACAATGCACAACCACGAATAGCCATGGGCAGCGGTCGCACTAGGAGCCACCAGAGGCAGCAGCTCTACAGGAAGATCATTCAAAACCTTGAAAGACAGCAGCCTGCAAGACACCCCAAAAGACAGAGTTGGCAGGGAGTAGCCGTGGAAGAAACCGGCTCACCGTTGCGGGGTAGTCAGAGCCGAGGTTGTTGAAAAGTTAATAACGAATCTTTTCGTCTTCTTGGTGGACTGTAGCAAGGCTTAAGGCCCAATGACAGCACTAGCACATGTAAAGGGAGAGAGCAGGACGTTTGATGATCTACCCAAACCAAGCCATCCAATCTCTAAGCCGCACATAAACTCCAATATGGGAGACCCTCTGTGAATTTGCAAGCCTTGACTCATTTGTTGAGGACTCCTGCAGGAATCACTACACACTCCACAATCCTGCAATTGGTCTGTCCAAAGTCACGGAGCCCCTAGTAGCTTCTTGCTCCTAGTAGTGCGGCCAGGAGCCCCTAGTAGCGTCCTTGCTCCTAGTAGCGATGCCAGGAGCCTCTAGTAGCTTCTTGCTCCCAGTATGGACAGGAGCCCCTAGTAGCTTCTTGCTCCTGGTAGTACGGCCAGGAGCGTCCTTGCTCCTAGCTAATCTGTTTATCTTTATCTATCTTTCCTTGTGTCTCTATTTGTATCTTTTCTGTGTCTTGATGAGTCTTAATTGTACATACGAGGCTGCTCTTTTTATCACATGACAGTCCAAACATATGATCGCTGCTGGGCAGCCGTGCCCTCTTGCCGATTCCCGGTGCGCGGGTCCGGTGGCCGGCGCCGGTGCCGGTTGCCGGTGCCGGTGGCCGGCCAGTTGCCGGCACCGGTGGCCGGTTGCCGGCGCCGGTTGCCGGAACTCTAAGAAAGTGTATTATGGTACGGCCAGGAGCCCCAAGTAGCGTCCTTGCTCGTAGTATCGATGCCAGGAGCCCCTAGTACCTTGTTCCTAGTGACATGTTGCTGTGAGCCCTCTGAGTTGCTGGCACAATCGTCATCTCGGAATCCAGTCGATGTGTTGGGCATTTCATCAAGAACAGGTCTGACATGCAGGAGTGTTACAAAGAGGAATGGCTGTCTGGAATCCGAATCCGTTCCAGCCTACTGCGGCAGCGATCCACATGCAAGCTCAAATCTTCAGAGCCTTGGAAGGCGGGATATTAGGATCGACAACAAAGTATTTCGAGCTAATTTGAGAACAAAACTGGAAGTAAACGAAACTGGAAAAAATGCTACTGCAGAGAAGACACAGTCTGGATGCGGACCTTTGGACCTGCAGCTGGCACGGCCACAGTTGCAGCCTTGGAACCCAAATCAGCTTGATCCTGGGTCATATAATATATATATATATGTGTGTGTGTGTGATTGACAACTCACAACATGCTGCGATATGATTGATCATAGTAAAAAGATTAAATTCAACTGTGCATAACATCAGACCTTGAAGCAACAGCTCTGGCAACAGTGAACCTTGATAACTCCCTCTCCAAAATTTGTCCCAGCAGCACGCCAAATTGCAAGGAGTGTATCCGCAGCACGGGCTACCAGGCCAGGTCTCATCCCCGCATGTGCCTGCCAGATCCCTTGGTTTTCACACTTGCCTTGACAGAGTCAGATACGAAGTAGCAGAATGCATGACGCATGTCAAACATCTCGATTGCAACAAAAGAATGCTCTTCAAGCAAGGTGCGCCCAGCAGCATTGCGCTTCTGCAAACCCCTGCCATGGATGAAGTCCCAAGTGTCTCAAGTTTACCGTTCCCACCAACATTCTGAAAGAAAGGCAACTGAAGGCAAGGTATTTGGTCCAATTACTGTAGAATGCATAGGCTGCGAACACCAAGAAAATTGTTTCTTGCTACTCCCAAGTGCGCAAACTTCAACAAATTGCGTGCGAGGCTCAAGCAGGCTGGCATGGAGAACCAGCATTGCAGCGAAAAGACAGCATGTGACAGAGTATATTATCAACCACGCCCAAATGACAAAAAGTACTCAGGATCAGCATCTTTGTCCAATTGTGCAAATGAAGAGACTGAAGTCAGTTTGTCATCTGGCTAGCTATGAATTGGCTGCGCATTCTTGAGCATTGAACGGCAACGTTGGCCTCTGCGTATTTATTTGTCAACAAGAAACAAAAGAGCGGTTTTTAGCATTCACAAGGAATGCACAAATAATCTGATCTGTCCAAAGAAACTGCAAATAGATTGCTCCCAAGGAGGTACTGAAATCTGATGACTGTGAAGGAGCTCAGGGCTCTGCAGTTGTCGTCGCTGTCTTGGTGGTTTGGAGGAGCTCGGACCTGTGCAGTCTCACGCATGGAGCTCGAACTGAATGCAAACACACAAATGAGAAGGACCCTGTTTGTACCAAGATTGCTTGATTCATGGCGGACCGCTCTGGCAAGCGAAATCGTGCTCAGATCTTGTCGGCTTAGTGATAAAAGCGCGAAAAAGCAAATGTCTCTGACGGCCAATGTCTCAAAGGAGATGGGAAGCCAAAAGCCAAAATAGGTTTTCTGCCCGCGGGGGGGGTGGCAGTGTAGAGGTGAGGTAGTAGGTAGGTTAGCTAGGTAGGTAGCTAGTAGAAGCTAGGAAGTCGCTACTAGCTACAAGAACGCTACTAGCATGGACGCAGGATAGCTCACGCTATTCATTTGGTTCCTAGATTTTTTGGAAAATTTAAGGTACTCATTTAAGGAGGCATGATCTCAATGCCTGACCAATCCAATTGAAACAGTAACAGGCCATTAGGAAAATAAGATTTTGGCGATGAGGAAGCGAAACTGCCACTTCAATGAATGACGGAAGCGGTCAAAACAGCTACAGTAAGTAAACTATATATAGCAGTTTCACTCACGAATGTCCAAGAACTAGACTTGTGAGGTGCTGTTGAGTCAAGAGTCAATGGGTAGAAGTGGCAGAAGCGTGTATATAAGCTAGCTGCCACAGTGTAGGGTGCTGTAGATGAGACATCATCCAGGCTGAGTCAGGATGAATCACTTGCAACCTGCATGGCCTTATTGCTTAGCCCTGTCAGGGCAGATCATGGTAACACGCGGCTGCTGAACAGAAAGCACGCGCCATCAAATTGATCGGTTTGACAAATAGTTGAAAACATGTGGGGTGGCAAGTTGCAGAAACTACAAGTCAAAATAAATAGCATACATGGCCAAGTGAACAAATGCACCAATGTCCCAAGCAGTGCAGCACCGGCTGCTTGGGTCCCAGCAGCTGCTTCTTGGCCAACTCACAAGGTTCATCCTTTCGAAGTTTCCTTTGACTTTGCAGGTGCTCCTCGGTTGGTCTGGCCCGACTGGATCACTCACATTGCAACAGTATCGCTTTGCTCGGCAAAAGGTGACGGCGGTATCTGTTTAAAAGCACGCTGAAAAGCATCACAACACACCCCTGTAAGTTGAGCAACGCACGTTCTCGCCGAGGGTAACAAAATACAAGTTACTATACCTCGCGCGATCCCCACGAAAGAGAGGATGTGCAATCCGGGTCGCGGTTCACGGCGGCCACTCAGCCACTCAGCCACTCAAGATTCTGACCGGCCACTCAGCTACTCAGCCACTCAGCCACTCAAGATCCTGAGTGACTGAGTGGCTGAGAGGAAGAAAGTCTGAGTGGCTGAGTGGCTGACAGAAAGAAAGTCTGAGTGGCTGAGTGGCTGAGTGGCTGACAGAAAAAACAAAGTCTAAGTGGCTGAGTGGCTGAGTGGCTGACAGGAATAAAGTCTGAGTGGCTGAGTGGCTCGGCTAAAGTCCGAACCAAGCCAACCCAAATCGGTCACCAACTGGTCGCTGATTTGGACTTCCCCCGCACCAACCCGAAGCGATCCCCGCAAGCAAGGCCGAACCAAACCAACCCGAATCGGTCACCAAGTGGTCGCTGACTCGGAGCTCTCTCCCCAACAGGAATCCATTGCCAGGAGTCGGCGCAGATGTCGTGGCAGGCACAGCACTTCGTGGATCTTGGAGCGCAGGTTTCGTGGCAGGCACAGCACTTTGTGAACCTCGAAGTGCATATGTCGCGGCAGGCGGAAGCAAGAAACCCGCAGGCCAGAAACCAAACTAAACCAACCCGAATCGGGCACCAACTGGTCGCTGATTCGGGGGATCGTGCTCGATTGAACGTGTGGAGCCAAGAAAGTGCTTGCATCGGCTTTGGCTCCAATAGAACAGCTGTCTAATTCTAGATTCTACAAGTAAGGATTGCACATACTCTCAGCGGATTTCTTCGCACGTACTCGCAGCGGATTTTCTTCCTGTCAGCCACTCAGGACCTGTCAGCCACTCAGCCACTCAGGCTTTCTTCTTGTCAGCCACTCAGCCACTTAGACTTTCTTCCTGTCAGCCACTCAGC